ATATATGTGAGTGTGTGTGTTTGTATGTTTGGTAGATTATTTCTTTGTTGTAACAATGCTTCTTGGCAATAAATGCTTCTGTAACAATGCTTCTTGGCAATAAATCTTATACCGTCCCTTTTAAATGGTGCCACATTTGTAAGGAACATGCATTCGTGGGATGAGCAGCAGAGCTGAGTATGAGGGTTGCACCCATGAAAAACTTGCCAAATCTTCTCTGCCAATGTTTTTTTTTTTTTTTCTTTTGCTGTTGCTATCAACTCTTGTTTTGAGCTTCTGGTACGTCCAGATGCTGACAATCAGATGCCTGATTGGCACCTAATTAGCATTTTTGCCCACCCTGACATGTTTACATCTTGTGCTTTTATAGCTCTACTGATGTTCAGTAACCTGCTTTGCCCTGTCAAATAAAGAATAAAATACAAGCCAGTGATGCAGGAATAAGTCCTAAAACCTGCAAATCGGTCAACATTTTAGCACTCTGTTCCCTCATCTTGACTGCAAAAGACTTAATATATGAGCAATGAAAAGAGCTTTTCCTGTTTAGTCTGCTATCATATAATATTTGTACTGAGTCTAAAAGAAATATCACAGAAGGACAACACATTTCAAAGTCAACTTAGTACTACCTTTGGTTGCATGGCCAGTCCATAGATTAGATTTACAAGCATGAATAGACTGCTCAGGATCAATCCAACTGCAAACTGAGACACACACGCATACACAAGCATTAAGATTAATGGAAAAAATTAAAAAGATTCATACAGTGTTTCTACTGCTGCTTCCCTTTACCCACCACTATAAGGGCCCACTTCTTCTCTTTGCAGGCACCATACAGACCAATGATGGTCAAAATCAGAGTTATGATGGAGAAAATATACAGGGTATGAAGGATTGCCATCGCCTCGTTTACCTGTGGAGAAAACAGAGAAGCAGGTCAGCAGGCTCAGTGAGCAGGGAAAAAAAATCAGAGTTCAATGCCCTGTGTCAGCATGCACACTGCCATAGTGTCTCAGTTGTTGCCTTTAGTTCTTGAGGTCAACCTCGGCAGTTTCCACACAGATTGCAACTGTATTAAATATTCTGAAGGAGTTTTTACATGAAGTTCAAACATTTTTTACTTGAAGGCAGTAAGAATACAACCCAATTACCACTTTCAGGGTTGTGTCTGTGAGTCAAACTTAAGGAGAAGATTTTGCAAAAGATTTCATTGATAACAGAGAATTATCTCATTAACTTGTTGCCTTGTAGCTTTAAAGGCACTATTTACATGTCTCAAATATTCCAGCTGATTGTATCTCATAAGATAGATGGCTTTAGAAGAAACACTTCTTTTATTCTCTCTGGTGAACTAGAGTAGAATATTTCACAAACCTGCAGTATGTCAACATGGACTCAAATGTTGGACTTTAGCCCTGTCTGGTTTAGTGTGAGGTGTGTATTTTGTGTTCTTAAGGAAACTACTGTATGTGTAAACCTTTAAATAGGAAACAAATACAGCCAACTTTTCAGACTTTTGCAATGCTTTCAAATTCTAAAAGTGCATCTTATTTTTTTTCTGTCCAGCAAAATACAGAGTAATGAAATACATACTTTAAAGCAGAGTTGTACTAATACCGATACCAGTATCGGATATGCCTCCGATACTGCCTAAACTGTGGTATCGGGTATCAGCGAGTATAGCCTATGACCAATCCGATACCACGTAATGCCTCACGTCATTACGCATACACACGCTACAGGCAAACGAAATGGAAACAGAGCGGAGTTTTAAAAGCATTCTACTGTAGCCTTTAAAATTTCTTTTTTACCAAATTGTGTGGCTGCACTTTAACCTCTGTCTCACTGGATAATAATGATAAAAAAAAAGTTTTATGGCATTCAGTCTACTATTATGTATGTATTTCTTAATATTTTACATAGTTTTAGGATTTGAGACATACAACAATTCATATCCCATCCATTTTTATTTTATGTGTTGGTTTTGGATTGGTACTCGGTATCGACAGATACCTAAGGTTCAGGGATCGGAATCGGTATCAGGAATGGTATCGTTACGTCTCTAATTTAAAGTCTGGTTTAGCAGCCAACAGCAGCTATCATTAGCACAAAGCTCACACATAGCAGTGAGCAGTAACTGCCGACAGGCCAGGCAGCTGATACGGGTTGAGACTGAGAGGTATATTAGTGATGGCTATTTTGCTCGTGTTTATAGGATTGTGACATTTAACAAAGGTGTTTATATATGTATATTTTAGAGTGAAAGAGCTAAGAGAGCTTATAGAATGCATTGAACATGTGGATGGGCGTACAAAACGACATTGCTGCTTTATTCCCTAACGTTTATATGGTAGGGTAGGGCTCTGGTTCCCAACTGGTGGGTCACGAGTCCATTCTGAATGGACCACAAGTAACTCAGGAGCATGTCAAGTTTGAAAGAAACACACTTTGTTTTGAAGTGCAGTGTCATTTCCTGCTGTAGAGTGACAGAGATAGCAAATTATTGGCCGTCAAGGGCCGCCCCTCAACACACACTGGCAGCGGCGCGCAGCGGCACCTCAACATGTATTTCCCACCCCAGCCCGCTAGGTGGCTGTACCTACACTAGTTGCCAACGGTTGCCAACTGCTAGTAACAGAAGAAGAAGAGGAAAAACTTTGAGGCAACAACAACTTGAATTTCACGGGTGAGTCGTCTTATTAAAAATTTGAAACAACCGGAGTTGATCCTACGAGACGAGACGTACATAAAAGGCTTTTTTCGCAGCGCCGCCATGAGCGCCGGCCGCGCTGGAAATAGAGTAGTGGGCTGAAGCAGAGCGGCGTGGCGCGTCGGCCGGCGCCAGTGTGTGTTGGTTCATAGAATATAATGAAGGCTCTACTGTAGACAGAGTAACTTCAGAGAGCCTTCACTGATATTCTTTGTGGATAGCTACCAATAGCTTTTGATAGCTACCGGTGAGAACAAAAGCACTATCCTCTTCCTGTTTTGGTTGCGCAATGGTTGACTCACTTCCTTTAAGCAGTATATTATACCTGGAGATTGTTCCAGTGGCAGACAGAACTGCATAGTGAAAGCAAGGCTTATAGGGACCTAATCTCAACACTGATGGTTTCATCACTCTATTACATTGTCCAAAAGGCCTGTAATCACCTATTTAACACTGGTGGGACGCCCTCCCGACCCAACCCTGCCCCAATGAAATGTTCTGCTGGGAAACCTTGGATCCTGGCATTTATGTGGATGCTACTTGATGTGCTCCACCCATCTAAACACCATTGCAGAACAAGTGCACCTGTTCAAGGCAACAGCACTCCCTGATGGAAGTGACCCCCCAGCAGGACGATGCATCATGTCACACTGCAAAAATTGTTACGGAATGGCCCGAGGAACATGACAATGAGCTCTAGGCTTCGACCTGGTTCCAAATTCCCAAGATCCCAATCCAATCAAGTATCTGTGGTATGTGCCTGTACCCCAGAGGTGGCAGCAATCCACAAGGGGGTTCTTTTTGGATTGGACTTCACTCTGACCTGTTGAGGCATGGACACAGGACCTTAAGAAGGTGTCCTGTGGTGTCTGGCACCAGGGTGTTTTGCAGCAGATCCTTTAGCAGTCCTGTAGGTTCTGAGGTGGGGTACCAGCACGTCCCACAGATGCTTGATCAGATTGGGATCTGGGGAATCTGGAGGCCATGTTGACACCTTGAGCTCTTTGTCATGTTCCTCGAGCTGTTACTGAGCAGTTTTTGTGGTGTGGTGTGGTATAGTGCACTGTTCTGCTGGGGGTTCACTGCCATTGGGGAGTGCTGTTGTCATGAAGGGGGATACTCAGTCTACAATGGTGTTTGGATGGGTGGAGCACATCAGGTGTGATCCACATGAATGCCCGGACCCAAGATTTCCCATCAGAATATTACACTGTAAAAGATGATCAATGTTATTCACTTCACCAGCCAGTGGTTTTAATGTTTTGGCTGATTGATGTGTAGTATAATTGTTGCCTAGTTGTGTAAACTTCATATGACAAGTGAAAGCAAAACACTTGTGTATTTCACTTCAGCTTGAAGTTTCACAGGTCACCATTAAGTCCTCGAGTATGCTTTTAACTATTACAGTTTTTTGCTGACCATTTTCAAATGCAGGCTGCACAGCTTCAGACTTACTTACCTTGTCACTGGTGTGCTGATATCTGGAACAGCATATTTAAAAAAAACAAGTTTCTAAAATACAGTAGCATGGTAATGTAAATACATACATTACCTTTTCATCTCTGTGTACGTATCCATGGGTAAACAGGGTGGCGGCCAACAGCAGCACACAGGCAATCTGCAACAGCCACAATACACTTCATTATTCATAACTTTCAGGGCCATAAGTAGAAGTGAGGAGTTAGCGGGAAAACAAGGCTTCAAGTCAGATAAAAAGGCTGTTGGTAATGCATGTAACCACGTTATTGTATTATGATGACCATACAAATTCATCATCAGCCAGAGTGGACATGTCTACATGCATTGCAACATCAGTTGATTTTGTAGTCCAAAAAAACCCAAACCTGTTGCTTTAATGAAAATACCTTTTTGCTCACATGGCTTGTTTAAAAAGGTCAAAATGTGTTTTTAATCTATAAATACTCAACAACAGGGAGACACCAGCCAGCCTTGCAAAACAACACTGACAATAAATGTCGAGTGACGCACAAACAAGTAGAACCCCATGTTGCGCAATCCAGTCCCTAACCACCCTCAGGCTTGTGTCAAAGTAAGGAGAAAGATGATGATGAGAAAAAATGGAGGGAAATTAAAAACTTATATCACATTTTTTAATTTAATTTTAAACATGTAAAAGATGTGTTTCATCATTTACCACATGATGGTGTGGTAAATTATGAAACACATCTTTTTTCTTCTTAACCACAAAGTACCCACTTCCTCCCCAAAATGTTTAATCAACAAGTTTTGATTTTCATGTGAAACACCTCTTCTCCTTTCCAGTTAACTTTAGCTGCATCTCGGTTGCCAACATTTAGAGCAAAATAAGACATCACATTTCTATATCCGGCACAGAAAACAACTCAATTGAAATAATCCACTCACAGATTTAAGCATCTGATACAACATGTGGTTTATGTGTAATTACACATGTAATACAAAGAACAATCTGCACTTACAAACCCTTCTTCTGTGTTGGGCAGCAGCATAAGAAAAACACTTACCCCAATCAGACTGATCACAGTGATGTAACTCCATTTCACACAGACATTCACTTTCCCCATTTTGTCGTGTTAGGACTCGCAGTCAGGATTTATAGGATACAGTTTAAAGTTTTCCTACAATAGAAACCCAGTGCTGTAGAGAAAGACGTACGCCTGAAGTGAAAGTTCACTTCTTGTCACGCACAGCAGCTTGGTGTTTGTTCATGGGTGTAGAGGAGGAGGTAGTCCTCATGTTGTGCTGGGAAAGGCCCTCCCCATCTGCAGGGGCAGGGTGTGTGTGTGAGGGACGAATTGGAGGAGTTGGGGGAATAATTTATATCATTTTTGGGAAACATTTGCACAGATTGTCCACACATAATTCAAAATTAGTTGAAAAACTGATTCTAATTTCTTGTTTTCCTCCATTTTGTTTTAAATATCAGTGTAAAGCTAACAGAAAAGCCAAGTCAAGTCCAATTTAGAGGGTGTTAGTAATGTGTGTACTCACATTACTGTGGTCACAAAACACAATGTGGATATCTTGTAAATGGCTTTTCAGCCATTTACTGTGCAGTGTGTTTTTCCCTTTCCCTTTCCCTTTGTTTTTATCTCTTTGGACAAGCTTTTTAAGAAGATCTGAAAACAGATGATAAAGACAACAGAGCTCTCAAGTGGAGCTTTTCTCTGTGTGTGTGTGTGTGTGTGTGTGTGTGTGTGTGTGTGTGTGTTTCTATGAGTGAACATGGCTTCAGCGCAGTCCCCCATAAAGCAGTTTTTGTCTGCTGTTGTCTTGAATGAACAAAGACACCATAGTCTGTTTCAATGGAATTGCACTGCTTGGGTCCATGTGCACTTCCTGTCAGCTGATGTCATTCACATACACTACAAAACATTCCTATCTATCTATCTATCTATCTATCCATCCATCCACCCATCCACCGCAATGTTTCAGCAGACTTTTCTACTGCCTCCTCTGTTATCCCCTCAGTGTAACATTTAAAATTTTTACTTTAAATTTATACTTTTGCTTGTTTGTGTTCGTATTTTTGTTTATTTCTAATTACACAAACAAGCTATAACTACCGTTACTAATCTTTAAAGGTGCTAGTAAGTGGATTTTGTTACCTTTTAACAGAGGCTGGCTAACCGCTTCCCCCTGTCCAGACTTTATGCTAAGCTAAGCTAACAAGCTGATCGCTGGAGCTTCATATTTACCGCAGAGACATGGGAGTGGTATCAATTTTCTCATTTCACTCTTTGCAATACAGAAAATAAACATATTTTTCACACAATTTCTCAAACATTTTATATGTTTATGGTACATGTGTGTCTGTGCAAAGTTTCATACTGCACATTTGAAGCTATGTATTGAATTGCTGAGATAGACGAGGGGATAAGCATTTTTGTATTGTCACCAACTCCCACTGTTTTGAAATACTTGGGTTCCTGTGGGGCACATCAGCACTGCTCATACCCCAGCTGTGTGTTTACTTTGAATCCCTGTGAGGCATTCTTCAACAGACAAATGAGTTTTTGAAGCAGCTATCATCTGCTGTAAACTTTTCCCTAAAATCCTCCCCCACTCCCAGGGAGACTGTCAGGACTTTGGTCGAAAGCAGCACTAGTATTAGAAACATATCACTGTAACTATGATCACTGTGCAGTTTGGAATCAGTAGGTCCAAAGTTTGCAGGAAGTTACGTAACTAGTCTGGATCTACAACCCTTAAATGAAACCTAGATTTCAACATCAGTCAGGAGAGGGACCCTCACTCTGGAGAAATACGCTCTCACTCTGATTCCAGTCACAACTCTGGCTGTAGTTTATTTGTACATGTTGCAGATGACTTTTTGCCTTTTTAGTTAGTCCAGATAGCTGAGTAATCCCATGATTATTAGTGTGTGTGTTGATCTTGGAAAAAGTTACACAACATTCCTCATATGTTGTCTTTAATTACAAAAGTCTCACCTACAATAGGCAAATGTTACAGATATTTAATTTAGAGATAGATTTCAGCTGCATTATCTATGTCATTACCCAAGGGCGTAAATTTTGTTTTAACATTAGGGGTGGGGGGCACATATGTAGCATTCTTCGCCAGGAAATTTTGAGTGTCAAACACTTAAATTGCTACATCCTGATTAATTGTTATGCACCATTTCAGTTGGAAATGTTTTTACTTTTGTCAAAATAAAAGTCCTCTGCCACTAAAATGTTTTATTGGGGGTACAAATACGCATGTTCTTAATACTGAGGGGGACCTTTTACTTGGCACTCCCTTAGGAGAGAGGCTTGTCAAACAAAATGCCAGCAAATATGGATGAGGTTTATTTTGGGTGGACCCAGTGCCAGTAAACCACACACTAGAGGGTGACACGGGAGTGGATTTTCAGTCCTGTCCCATCCCACTCCCACAAAAATAATCCCATCCCGTCCCAATCCCATGAAAAAGAAAAAGAAAATCCCGCCCCGTCCCAATCCCACAAAAATGACTCCTGTCCCATCCCGCTCCCGTGTTGTTTCAGTTACAGTAAAAAAAAACAAAAAAAAAAACATGGATCACACAATATAAACCCAAATATGACATCTAATGTTGTGTTTTGATGTTTATTGTCTACATTCACTCCACCTTGAAGCTGTTCAGAATGATAAACACATTTGATTTCTGATGTGGTCAGACAACACGTCGTAAGAAGAGCCAGTACTGAGAGAGAAAAATGTAGTTAAAGTACTGTTTGGTTCCTCTGACTGATATTATGATATATGACATCATTAGATTATTAATACTGAAGCATCAGTGTTAGAGCAGCATGTTACTGTTGTAGCTGCTGGAGGTGGAGCTAGTTTCAACTACTTTATAAAAACTTGACTATTGTTATTATGATTAGGCCTGTCACAATAACAGATTTTGCTGGGCGATTAATTGCGTCAGAAATTATTGCAATAAGCGATAATATTGCGTGATATTGTGCTTTTAAGACCATTTTTATTGTTGTTGTAATTTTGCTGTTTTTAGACCATTTTTTAAACTTATATAATGATAATAATGATGCAAGTACACCCTTTTAAAGAGAAATAAACATTTATTTAACAAGAATATTTAGGAATTAAGAAAGAAAATTTCAATATCCGAAATAACACGTAAAAATATCGAAATAAATAAATAAATACAAACAAATAGACCTTCAGTCTCACACTCTCAGGTGTGCAGTTAAGTTGATCGTATTCGCTCTTTTTGTTGAGATGGTTTTAGAACAAACCCGTCACACCGGCTCGTCCAAATTACTGGGCTCCCCTCTGTCATATGGTTTAAATCCAAAATACTCCCACACAGGGGCCGTGGTGTTTGGTTTAGGAACAAGTTCCCTGTCTTTTTCTTATACTCAACTGTTGTTTCTTTTCTCCGCCTCGTCTCCCCCTCACGAAGATCGCATTGTGTGTGTGTGCGTGTGTGTGTGTGTGTGTGTAGCCCATAGCCCCGCCTCCCCCACAGAGACAAAGACACTCGATGACAAGAGCTTGCCCTCCGTTCATTACGCTAATGAACCAACTCACCTGGCTGTCAGATGATGCACAGAAGTGAACGCTCTTGTCGTTCATTCTCTTTGGTGGAGAGAGATGAGGAAAACAAACAAGCATGAACATGGCAATTAATCCCTTTTAATTTACCGTGCAATTAACCTTATCGCATATCGCGACAGGCCTAATTATGATTCCCAGTCCCGCCTGCTCCCGTTTACTTTTCCCCCCATCCCGTTCCAATCACGTGACAAATAGTGAAACTAGGCTCGTTCGAGATGAACTGCGCCTCGCCTGGATAGGAGACGAGAGCAGGCGGCCGCAGCGGGGGGCGGTGACAAAAAGCTGCAGTGAAGTCGGACAGTTTCAGAACAGTTTCCAGCAGCCTTCAGTCCATACAGGAAGTCACAGACACACTAACATCCTGTCTGGAATGATGTCAATTCATTAAAAAAGTGATCAGACCCATATATCAGTTTGTTATCAGTCTCCAGTTGTTTAAATAATGATAGATTAATTTATTAAAATGATTTACAGGTGATCTGTAGTTTATGTTCATGGTTTATCCTCCATTTGATATGAACTCTCCTGTAAATCAGCATCATATCAGTTTGACTGATTGCTTGACGATAAGGTTCATATTTTCAGAGGAAAAAAAATACAAGACAACAGCTTTCATTAAGGCTCAGTCAGATACAGTCAGGGCTTCACATCTGTACAGATGTTAGTTTAAGAATCCAGTGTTAATATACAGTAGACTCTGTATAGTTTATGATGAATGTATTTAGTCTCTGACAAAAATGTCAGCCTCTACCACACCCACTGGGTGAAGAAACTTCCCTCATAATTACACAATGCCTATGTCAAACATTCAGTGTCTGAAACGATATTAAAAATAACATATTGCTGAAAGATTGCAGTGTAAGCAGTGTCATACCAGCCTCACCACTATAGGTCCATTCAGTAGCTGTTCTAGACCTCTCAGTCACCTCACATGATCTTCGTCTGCAGATAAACTTTCTCTTGTCATAGAATTGCAGATTGGCAAAGTTATTTTTTCCTAAGCAGTTCAAGATTATATGATATTGAACAAGTACTGAGTTGACCTATTCAGGAGAATTTTTTCTCAACTTTCCAAGATCAACAACTAACTGTGAACCCCAGCATTTAACTTTGACAGTAAGAATCCTAATTTTAAACACCCGATTCATTTGGTCCCGTTGTTGGGTTAAATAAAATACAGCCACAAGCAGCACCCCAGGTTCAGGCCCTTTCTCGGCCAACAGAAAGGCTTCATAAAGCAAAGCAAAGTCCCTTCAGCTGGTTTAATTTTGCCTTGAAGGAGTGAGGGAAATCACACACTTTTTTATCATCAGTAACTGCACACTCAAAGTCCTGCCCCCTCACTAGATGTGAATGAAACTTGGTTGGTACATTTAGAACTCAGTGCAGGATGTCTCTACTGAGTTTAATCAGGATTCTGCAAAGACAACTTGACTTATGGCCTATTTCCTTCTAAGTCCTGCCCTTTGCAAGGACCTTTTGATTGATGGCAGCCATGTTTTCTGACTGATCTTGCTTGTTTATAGTAGGACTGTGTATCTTACTCCCACAGAGCTGTAAGACAAATTTGGTGTTGATGGAGTCGAGATCCAAAAAAAGTCTATTCATATTTTTTAATGTTATTCAAAAAAGCAAAGAATGCATTATTGT